TTAAAGAAGACGTGTTCAGACTTGTTAGGTGTTTTCAGAATCGGAAGCAAATTCCTAAAGGATGTAATTCCTCCTTCATTGTTCTCATCCCCAAAGTGATGGACCCAAAGTTACAGATGATTTTTGACCTATTAGCCTTATAGGTTGTCAATATAAAATTATTGGGAAACTTTTGGCAAATCGTATCACAGTTGTCATTGGTTCGGTGGTTAGTGTTGAGAAATCTGCCTTCATTAAAGGTAGACAAATTCTTTATGGGCCTATGATGTTGAGTGAAATTATTTCTCATGCTAAGGACATTCATAAAAAGATCATGGTGTTTAAGGCGGATTTCGAGAAGGCTTATGACTCATTGTCATGGGATTTTTTAATTGAAGTTATGAAAAAGATGAGCTTCAGTAATACTTGGTGTCAATGGATAAGGGTCGTTCTAAGTACTACTATAGCTTCTGTTTTAGTCAATGGATCGCTTACAATTGAATTTAATGTTGAATGGGGACTAAGACAAAGTGATCCTTTATCGCCATTTCTTTTTGTTATTGTTATGGAAGGTTTACATGTTGTTTTGGTGGAAGCTAGTCGGGCAGGGGATTTTAAAGGAATTTCATTTGGTCCTACAAGTTTAGAAGTTTCTCATCTATTTTATGCGAATGATGCTATTATTTTATGTGATTGGTAGGTTGAAAATGCTAGGAGGATTGTTCGTATTTTAAAGTTTTCCAGCTTGCTTCGGGGCTTAAAATTAATTTACTAAAAAATAAACTAATTGGCGTTGGAGTGGAGTTTGAATTGGTGGAAAATATGGCTTATTTGATTGGTTGCCAAGCTACTTGGGTTCGTTTTGTGTATCTTGGAGTTCCTGTAGGGGGAAATATGAATAGAGTGATTAATTGGAAACCTATTGTAGAGAGATTTATTGAGAAGTTGTCTGTTTGGAAAGGTAAACTTCTTTCCATAGGTGGTCGTTTAACCTTGTTGAAAGTTGTGTTGGGTAATACAACTTTATATTATATGTCGAAAAATTCATTGGATCGCTTGGAACCGTGTTTTGGCTAGTAAAGTTGATGGAGGTTTAGGCATTGGCACCCTAAATGCTTATAATAATGCTATCATTTTCAAACGGTATTGGCGTTATTTTGAAGATCCTATGACTCTTTGGGCTAAAATTATTACTGTTATACATGGAGATATAAGGGGCGGTAGCGTGAATTACAAAAACGTAGGTGGTTTAAGCCCTTGGGTTAATATGGTTAAACGAGTGGAAAAGTTAAAAAATAAAGGCATTAATTTGCATGAGTTTATTACTGTAAGGGTGGGAATTGGCCATTCTATATGGTTTAGGCAAGATGTTTGGAAAGGTGACAAACCTTTGAAGGAGTTGTTTCCTAGAATTTTTCTGTTTGATTCGGATCCGAATGCTAAACTGGTGGATAGAGATTGTATTGATAAAATTAAAGCTAATTTAGTTAGACAACCAAGGGTAGGGGTTCTGGCTGATCAATTAAAATACCTTGGTGAATTAATTGGTGAAGTAGTGTTGTTAGATACAAAGGATAGGCAACATTGGGAGCTGGAAATATATGGTTTTTTCACAGTCGCTTCTACAAGAGTGCTACTGGATTTGGTCTTGATGGAGAGTTCATCGCATCCTACTCGATGGAATAATCTAGTCCCTAGAAAAGTTAATGTTTTGTTATGGAGATTAGCTAGAAACAGGATTCCTACTAGACTAAATCTGAGAGATAAGAACATTGACTTAGATAGTTTGTTGTGCCTGGTTTGTGATCAAACAAGTGAATCTGTAGAGCATCTTTTTATTTCCTATTCGTTATTGGTTTCTATTTGGGATAAAATCATAGCTTGGTGGGATGTGGACATTCTAGTCAATCGTTCTATAACTAATCTGATCAATTGGAGTGATAATCTCAAAATTGATGTGGAGACCAAACGTATCTTTGATGTGGTGGTCATGGTCACATTTTGGAGCATAAGGAGTTATAGAAACAAGATGGTGTTTAATATGGTGAAGCCCCGTAAAGATGTGATCTTTGATGACACTCGTTCTTTTGCTTATTTTTGGGTAAAAAATAGGTGTAGGACTTGCAAAAATGATTGGAATTGTTGGTTGTTTAATATTCTTGTTTTATTAAAGTTTCTGCTGTTCAAAAAAAAAAAAATACAGTGTCACCGAGCATTAGATAAACAAGTCGAACATTACACCGAAGTTGTAGAGTATGAGTCTTGGAAAATTGTGGAGAAAATGAGTAGTGTAAAAGCATGAATTGATGGAGAAAGAGCTAAATTTCTACTATGAATGTCCTGAAATTCAGTTTTAAGAAAAAAGAAGTTAATGATTTTGTATGTATGGTCGTTTTTAATGATCTTTTCTATTAATGACATTATTGATGGTTTTATGTTTTGTTTTTGACTTATTCGACCTAACTTTTAAACATGAATTTAAAAAACAGAGGCTAAAAACAAATATGCAGTATATAATACATATTAAAAAATAAAATATATAAATGAACCCACTGAAGCGGCGTACCTCGTGATATTTGTGCAAATTGCCTACGATATGTATCAACCTATTTAGTTGTGCATGCAACCCTTATTAATGTTCACTAATCAACGAGGGGTCAACATCTCAAATGAATAATATACAAAACCAGCTATTACCGGTAATAAAGACAATTTTTTTTTGGCATTAACAAACAAGAAATTGGTAAATGACAAAAAAACCAATAAAATTTGACAAAGTTAAGAATTTTCATATATAAAATAACATAATCATATTTTTCCTATTCTGTTTTATTTATATGTTGGGAAAATGACTTATATGGGTAACTATGTTTCAAAATCGTTCAAAAAATATCATTTAAGTTTTGTGTGTCCAAAAAACACCATCCAAGTAAATCATTTGTACAAAAAACACCAACGAAGTACATTCTTTGTTCAAATTTGACCTTGTGGTAACCGGCAATTACCGGTAAAAAATAAGTAAAGGAAAAAAACAAGAGGAAATGACTCAAAAGGGTAACTATGTTTCAAAATCGTTCAAAAAACACCATCCAAGTTTGGTATGTTCAAAAAAACACCATCCAAGTAAACTTTTTGTACAAAAAGCACCAACAAACTATATGTTTTGTTCAAATATTACCCACCGGTAACTGGCTATTACATGTTAAATGATGACTTGACTTAACTATTATGACATGGTATAATAATTATTGACAAAACAATAAATGATATATTCCTCCTTTAAAAATAGATTTAGGGTTTCTTCATGAACGAATGACTTCTTCTTCTCCTATTATTGCTCTTCTTCTTCTAAAGTGATGATCACGAACTCAAGTCCAAAACCCTAATTCTTGACTTAAGGCAAAAATGGCTCTTTTACCCCTGCCTCAATGGGCCCCATTTATTATCCGGTCTACAGACACGCACGTCTCTTGTCATTTCCTTGTTATTTTATTGTTTCGTACCATTTCTTTTGCATGTTTCTTGGCATATGGTTATGATACTTGTGTACGATGTATTCAAATTTATATTTGTTCGTAACAAGCCGAGGTGTCTGTAATGCCCGTTCGTAACAAGTTATGGCCATCAGAAGATTGGCGGTTCTTGACCCTAGCCGAGTACGTTGGGCGTACGCTAGGAGTACATCGGGCATAATGGCTCGACATCCGGATCGCAGAGGCTTCAGCATATGTTGGGCGTATGCATGGACTTGTTTAAGTTAGGGCTCAGACCCAGCTGATTGTAGCAGGTCATTTTTTGGGCTTAAGGCCATGTTGGGGGTTCTTGGGCCATATTGGGCCTTAGAGGCCTTGTAGTTGGGCTTAGATGCCTTTTTGGACTTTTTATGGATATGGGTCTTTAGGGGAGGCACTATTGAGGCAGGGGTAAAGGAGCCCTTTTTGCCTTAAGTAAAGAATTAGGGTTTTGGACTTGAGTTCGAGATCATCACTTTAGAAGAAGAAGAAGAGCAATCATAGGAGAAGAAGAAGTCATTCGTTTATGAAAAAACCCTAAATCAATTTTTAAAGGAGGAATAAATCATTTATTGTTTTGTCAATAATTATTATGTCATGTCATAATAGTTAAGCCAAGTTATCATTTAACATGTAAGAGCCAGTTACCGGTGGGTAATATTTGAACAAAACATATAGTTTGTTGGTGTTTTTTGTACAAAAAGTTTACTTGGATGGTGTTTTTTGAACATACCAAACTTGGATGGTGTTTATTGAACGATTTTGAAACATAGTTACCATTTTGAATCATTTTCTATTGTATTTTTTCTTTATTTATTTTTTACCGGTAATTGCCGGTTACCACAAGGTCAAATTTGAATAAAGAACGTATTTCGTTGGTGTTTTTTGTACAAATGTTTTACTTGGATGGTGTTTTTTAAACACATCAAACTTGAATGATATTTTTTGAACGATTTTGAAACATGGTTACCCATATAAGTCATTTTCCCTTATATGTTTTGACATATAAAAAAACAGGAGACATTTTCAATGATCGAATTTCATGGTATTATTGAATGTTAAGAGACCATTACAATTAAGTATCTCTTGCAAAAACTGACTTGTTTTTCGTTCAAGTGTACCTCGTATCGTGTCTATGATTCCTAATTAAAACAAAATATATGCTGTATATACAATTTGTTGTTGATTAAACATTATAATAATTAGATACGAAAGGGTCTGAATTTACGCAAGTTGGAGAAGATAAGGGAAGGGATGGAGTAAACAAAAATGTAACACTAAAATAGAGGTTTCCCTTTATAGCAATTGGATGAAATTGCGGCGCCCTGACATTTTATCCTTTTATGCAATAGTGATTGATTGAAGGCACGTGAGCAACTCGTGAACAAAGTCCCACACCCCGCCATTACTTTTGAATATTGGGAACTGAACCCCCACCCCACACACATCACAATACAATAACTGATCTCCACCTTGTTCCTCCCTCCCTCCCTCCCTCCTTTTTATAACCATCGATCACTCTCGTTTTCACAATCGCTGCCGCCGCCGCCGGAGACTTCACGGTCTTCTTTGACTCTACTGTTTCGTACTAGTTTGACTAATTTTCTCAATATCGTCAAACTCAGTGCGTGTATGATGAATACACCTGTGAGTTATCCTAAGACAGTTTAACAATCATATAAGAGGAAGTGGAAACGTCGATTGTGATCGGAGATAGAAGGAAATATATTATTGAAACATCGAAACACAAAGGAGATAGACCTTGATGCTGGTTTGATTCGGAGAGATTTGATTGATTGGTGATCTGTTTGCTGATAACTGTGTTGTGTTTTCCGATAGTTCCAGTTATAGTTTCATCGGATTCTGGAGAATTTCATCCTCTGTTTGTATTAATCCTGTAATTCCATTCGAGTGAAAAAAATTTGTGATCGTAATTTGAAATCGGAAGAGATGGAAAACAAGCAATTGTTCATGTCTGCGTTGAGCGTGGGAATAGGAGTAGGAGTTGGAATTGGAATGGGGAAGACAGTGAGTAGGTGGACCGGTGGTGGTGATGATTCATCAGGAAACGGACTCACTCCACAAACAATGGAGCGTGAGATGCTTAGTATGATCGTCGATGGCAAAGACAGCAAAATCACCTTCGACCAATTTCCCTATTACCTAAGGTAATTAATTAATTAATTAATCTGTATCACTTTCATTCAATTCAACGGACTTAATTGATATTTCATTAAACAAAATCTGCATTCCAAGTTTCAAACACTACATAATAAAACAAATATTACGTATGATATTTTGTGTGGACAGATCTTAATAGTGATTATTAGTGAGAGCATCCATGAATGAAAACTTTGGAGGTTGATGAGGTTTAGGGTTTTTGGAGATGCAGAACACCTGGTTCTGTTTTGGCCGTCCGTCAAAATAATCATTAATTTTCAAATCGTATGACTCACCATACTTGTGATGAGGTGTCCCTGGTCCCATCTCAATCTATCAACACTCACATCATCACTATGTAGGCGTGTCATCGGTCAATTGATGACATGCCAAAAGTCTACAACACCCGGAGAAAATTGAAGTTTAAGTTTTTGTTCGTGTCTGGTTTAAAAGACGGTTCGGCTAATGTGTTTGATGAAATGGGTTGGCTAGTTTTTCAATTATTTTTATTGGTTGAACTTGTATTGTTTTCTAAAAAAAGTTAATTATAAACAGTTAACGATAGGTTGATTTTTGGTAAGGGTGTCCATGACTCCATGTGGTGTCTATTTAGCAACACCCTGAAATCGACATAATTTAGCATGTGTTTTTAGTGTTTGTCATGTTAAACATGTATCAAGTATGAATTAAATAAACTAATGGTTATTTTATGTTATCTTTATGATAATATTTAACGTGGTTCGATTAATATGACCTACATGAAAGAGTATTTTTATTCACAAACTTAAAACCAATAATACAACATAAGCTATCAGTCGTATTATATAGGCAAGTACAAAACATAACCCTAACTAGAACATGACTCGTCAATTTAATAGTGTTATGCCGTGTTTGTTTTACATTAAACCTTGTCTTTTTTTTTTAAACGGCAAATCTAACCTACTCCTAAACTACACCTTAAATCCACATATATCCACGATGTGACTTGAACCCTCAACCTCAAGGAGGGAGGACAACACCGGATACCGCTGGGCTAGAAGTCAGACAAAACAAGACAAGATTCTCCGATTTGACACCCCATTAAATAATGCAGATTTGACACCCCATTAAATAATGCAGAGTCTACAATTAAAACTAAGGCATTGAATATTCTAAATTTGGTTTATGATGATTATTATTATTTATTTATTTTGTTCTTTTTGCCATTTCAACAGCGAGCAGACAAGGGTTTTACTTACAAGTGCCGCTTTTGTTTATCTGAAGAACATCGATTTTTCCAAGCACACAAGAAACCTTTCTCCAGCAAGTCGAACTATATTGTTATCAGGGCCTGCAGGTTAGTTCAATTTTTAAATAAAGTTGCTTTGTTAATCACACTTGAATATATCTTTAACTGCATTGACTAAAATTTGTCTTTGTGTTGTGGATTTAAAGAGCTTTATCAGCAAATGCTTGCCAAGGCTTTGGCTCATTATTTTGAAGCCAAGTTGTTGTTGCTAGATGTCAATGATTTTTCACTTAAGGTGAGCCTGTTGATTAAAAAACGTCATAATGTTTGAATTTACTAATCTGCCTCTCTTGATCTTGTCAGGTCCAGAGCAAATATGGTGCTTCCTCCAAAGATACTGTAAGCATTATGGACATTTTTTCAATCATATACTTTCCCTATTTTATATTATTATGTTGTTTTATCTACTGATGCATTTTCTACTATATATGTATATAGACCTTCAAAAGATCCACTTCAGAAACAACCTTGGGGCGAATGTCAGACTTATTTGAATCAACCATGTCTATGTTTCAATCCAAACAGGAAATAAAAGGTATTTAGTTTGGGTTGTTACTGTTCACAGTTTACATCTTTAAGAAACTGCCTCCTTTAGAAGGTTGTATACTTTCATGGTGTTTGTGTAATAAACCTATATATAGCTGTTCTCTTTGTTTACATTTGATTCATATAACTGTTGTCTTTTACAGGGACATTACGTAGACAGAGCAGTGTTTCTGATTTTGGATCAAGGTGTGACATACAATCTTGTTGATAAAAAATATAGAAATCTGTTGTGCAAACTTCTTTTCATTTCTCTTTTTATATATAGGGGGACTGAATCTTTCTCAAGTACTCCAAATCTTCGGAGAAACGCATCTTCATCAGCTAATATTGACGAGCTTGCTTCAAAATCTACTCCACCAAATCCAGGTAAATTATTACAATCACATAGACTAATCTCTCAAGCCAACCACCAATTACATCAAATTCCAAAATTTTAATATACACTAAGAAAAAAATCAAATACTATTGGGGCAAACTGAAGCCAACAAATCCCAACAATAATATAACCTTTTTGGCATATCCTTCTTCTCAGCTCCACTTAGGCGCACAAGCAGTTTGTCTTTTGATGAGAAACTTTTTGTACAAACCTTGTACAAGGTATATATATAAAATCTCTTGTCATTTAATTTGTTTCTCTGCCTTCTGCTACAAGTATAACTTTTTTAAAACTTAATTGCAGGTTCTTACTTTCATATCCAAGAACAGTCCTATCGTGTTATACCTTAGAGACATCGAGAAGCTTCTATGCAGATCCCAAAAGTTATACACTTTATTCCAGAAAATGTTAAAAAGAATTTCTGGACCTGTACTGATACTTGGGTCACAAGTTATTGACTCTGAGAAAGATTACAGAGACTTAGACGAGAGGATTACTTCTGTGTTCCCATACAACATTGAAATCAAACCTCCTCACGAAGAAAACCATCTTGTGAGTTGGAAAAGTCAACTTGAAGAAGATATGAAGATGATCCAGTTTCAAGATAACAGAAATCATATCAGTGAAGTTCTTGCTGCCAATGATCTTGACTGTGATGATCTTGCTTCTATTTGTGTGGCTGACACAATTGATCTTAGCAACTACATTGAGGAAATCGTGGTTTCAGCTATCTCATATCATCTCACACATACCAAGAATCCAGAGTATAGAAATGGAAAACTAGTCATTTCTTCTACAAGGTCTGATTTATTTTAAGAGTTAATCACAAAAAATGGGAAGCTCATGTCACAAAATGACCACATTTTCACCGTTTATCACAAAATGACCACTTATTTCGCTAAAAAAATTGCGAAATACCTTTCTTTATCGCAAAAATGTGAATTTTTTTGCTTGTGATGATTTTTTGTAGCGAAATTAAATAAAAATCCCGAAATTGACTATTAGAAGGAATTTATTTCAAATGTAAACAAATTTGGTTAAGGGTTTTGGTTCTCTCATTTGCCTCCCAGGGGTGACGTTTTTCGAATTTACCTAAAAGTTTTTGAATTAAAATTTGCAATTCAAAGATATAGCGAAAAGACATTATATTTTTTGCGAAATGACATCATATTCACAAAAATATATATAATAAAATATGATGTCAGAAAAAGCAATTTTGTGAATTAGGACATCCACAATCCATTGAACTCTATGGAGTTCAATGGATTGCCACATCACTGTCACATTAACATTTCATTTTTTATTCAACTATATTCTTTAACATCCACACTCCATTAAACTCTACAGAGTTTAATGGATTCTTATATTTGGTTTGAAATTTAATTGAAAAAGAAAACATTAAATCTATTGAACCACTCAATGATCATACAACTCTCTCATTCAACTCTTCTCCATGTCATCAATCACACTCCATTAAACTTCTATTCAATCTTAGTCATCATCTATTCAACTCTTATTAAACCCCCATCGTGGATGCTCTAAGGGAACCTTTTTATCGCAACATAGGTGGGGGTGGTTATTTTGTGAAAAATATTGAAAAACTAGGTGATCATTTCATAATATAACCTTCCCATTTTTGTGATGAACTCTTCTTTTTATCCGATTATACCATTAATTATTTGTTTCCTTAAATATGTTGCTGACTTTTATATTTGACACATAAAACAGTTTGTCTCATGGGTTGAGCCTGTTCCAGGAAGGTAAATCTGTTAAGAAGGAGACCTCAACCTCAAAGGTTTGTGATAGTTCTATCTTTAATTAGAAATTCACTATAAAAATCCTTTATTTTGACTCACTTATATATATACAATCATTAATTACAGGATACAGTTGTGAAAGATTCTGTTGTCCCAAAACCAGAAACCAAAGCTGAAAGCACGAGTGGTCCTAATGAAGCAGAAGCTTCTTCAGCTCCTAAGAATGCTGATAATGTCACCCCAACACCTAAAGCTCCCGTAAGTTTTTATAATCTTTCTTAAAGTTTTTTTTTTTTTTAAAAAATCTTTATTTTTTAATTAGATATTGTAATCTTTTTAGGAAGTTCCTGCTGATAACGAATTTGAGAAGCGAATAAGACCAGAAGTGATACCCGCAAGTGAAATCGGGGTTACATTTTCTGACATTGGTGCATTAGATGACATTAAAGATTCACTTCAAGAACTGGTGATGTTACCTTTAAGAAGACCCGATTTGTTCATCGGAGGACTTTTGAAGCCATGCAGAGGGATATTACTATTTGGCCCTCCTGGAACAGGGAAAACCATGCTTGCTAAAGCAATTGCCAACGAGGCTGGAGCAAGTTTCATCAATGTTTCAATGTCCACCATTACTTCAAAATGGTTTGGTGAAGATGAAAAGAATGTTAGAGCTTTGTTTACACTTGCAGCTAAAGTGTCGCCTACTATTATATTTGTTGATGAGGTGGATAGTATGCTTGGTCAAAGGTCAAGAGCTGGAGAACATGAAGCCATGAGGAAGATTAAGAATGAGTTTATGACTCATTGGGATGGGTTGTTGACTAAACCAGGTGAAAGGATTCTTGTTCTTGCTGCTACTAATCGCCCTTTTGACCTTGATGAGGCTATTATCAGACGTTTTGAGCGAAGGTATATATTTTCAAACTTTTTGAATTGAAATAATGAAATTTAGAACTTTTTTTTAAAAATGTTTTTGTGATGGTGAAAATAGGATAATGGTGGGGTTACCATCGGTGGAAAATAGGGAAAAGATATTGAAGACTCTTTTGGGAAAAGAAGAGATTGATGAAGGATTGAACTTTGGTGAACTTGCTACTATGACTGAAGGATATACTGGAAGTGATCTGAAGGTTAGGGGTTGTTTCTTTTTTACTTAATAAGCTTTAATGAGTTAATAAGCACTTAATCTGGGCAACTATACATGACTCTGTCAAAAAAAAAAAAAAAAAAAAAAAACTGTCTTAATGGATTCAGAGACACCAAGCCCTTTACCTATTTGTCTTTCTTTTTTCCTCCCAACTCTTCTCACGACTTATTGTGAAAATTGTTTGTTGAAATTTTAAGGGTAAAATGATCATTTAGTATCATGAGATGGTTTATTCGGCCTAGAAAAGAAACATACGTTATATATATACAACACTTTATCATCATCCATCACTTATTCAATCACTTGACAGATACACAGCCCCTTGGGTTAATCAATGTTTATGATGATATGTCATGATTATAACTAATTTTTGGTGACATTACAGAATCTGTGTACGACTGCAGCTTATCGACCAGTTAGGGAGCTGATACAGCAAGAAAGATTGAAGGATATTGTGAGTATTATAATATGAATAAAACGTAGCTGTGACTTTTATCTTTTTTAATTTATATAATTAAGTTTGTTTGTGCAGGAGAAAAAACTGAGAGCTGAGAGGGGAGAGGGGCCTCAATCTCCAGAAGAAGTTACAAAGGAGAAGGTGATTAGTATTAGGCCACTAAACATGGAGGACTTTAGGGAAGCCAAGAATCAGGTGGGTGTGAAATGACCCTTATATTGATTTGTATCAGGGGATAGTGATTGATTTATTAATTTGTGTTTGTGTTGATAAATGAAATTGTGTACAGGTGGCGGCTAGTTTTGCATCGGAAGGGTCAATAATGGGCGAACTGAAGCAATGGAACGAGCAATATGGTGAGGGGGGTTCAAGGAAAAAGGAGCAATTATCATATTTCCTCTAATAAACTCACTTTCACTTTCACTATCACCTAATTAAAAAAGTATCATGTCACTAATCCCCCTCCATATGAAATATGAACCACCCAATAAAGGATCCATCCATCAATCACTCTACTCATGTACGTTGTAGCCACCCACCATACAAAAACATCAACATCAAGGGGCTCGGTTTGTACCATAACTGTGGGTCTGTTTGAGGGGGCAGGTCACAGGTGGGTGGCTTACAATTATATGAGTGATCCTGTTCCTGTTCCTGTTCCTGGACTTTTGTGTGTTGTGTTGTACCATTTGTTTTGTCTTGTTGTTTCCCACCCATACAGTTAGTTACACAATATTTGTTTGATTTTTATTCTCGAAATAGTGTGTGCGCTTGTGTTGTATGTACGATATTTCCTTTTTCTAGTGGATGTTGCAACCTCATGTAATATTTTACTATTCTTCTCAAATAAAAAATATAACCTTGTTTGTGATTTTACTGGTACCGTTACCAATTAATTGGAATAAAAATGTGGATTTAAACTCTATGATCTAAAACTAAACTTATTTAAACTATGATCTAATACAAGTTTAGTTGTACAACTTGTATATGTAAGACGAGTTTGATCTTGGACACTGTAAAATGTGGAGTCAAGGGCCATAAGGTGGCCTGCTGAGACCCAAAATCTTCACAAAATTTTGTACATGGAATGGAATGAAAAATATGATCACAATGGAACAGATAATTGCCCGATGGTTGTCTCCATAAACCATTTTTCTACTGCAGATTTTGTCACTTTTCGGATGTAGGAGTACATATACTCATATTTCGTTGTATTTGAGGTTGGCTTACAAATTTGGACTCATCAATATACCCTCCAGTAATGTCCCTTTTTTTTGACTAAATTGAAAGTGTCTTTAGCATACAATCACAAGATTAAAATCCTTGTAACCCAGACACATGATCAAAATACTAAGGGAGGAGTGAGTCGTTCCCTCCCAACCCACCGAACCCACAGTCACATCAATTTTTCTTCATCTTTCCGAACCCACAACACAAGGCAATCCTATCTTTTTGAACCCACTCAATTAAAAAAAAATACAAAACAACTAAGATACAAGTTTTAAAACACATGGTACAAGAGAAAATAAGAAAGAAAAAG